AATCGACATGCCTACGATATTCTCGGGTGTCCCTCCGGCGAGGATGGTCTCGTGCTACCGGAAGATGACGTTGGATGAGTTCAACGTCACCATGGGCTTCAACCAGCCCGCAGACACCCTGACGCCGGAATATCAGGGAGCCATCTGTGAGCGGTCGGCTGCCCTCACAACCGGTGAGATATGCGAGGATCTCACCGGGTCACAAATTCTACCGGCCTTGATGAAAGGGTCGGCGCTCAGCCCTCCCCTTCGCATCTGCCACAAGTTGCTGGCAGGGATGATCCATGCACGGAAGGAGAGTCAGGGGAAGATCACTCAGCCCGATCTCTTCGTGTTGCAATGCATGGACGCTGGTGTAACCCCAACTACTTCTTTTTGAGGGCTCTAAAGGACTTCGGGAGCCGCCCGTTGGAGCCATCCTCATGGCTCCCCTCATCATCCCGCTGGCCGAGAGATGGGGATGCACCAACAGGGAGGACATTCCCTCCATCCTCCAACCTGAGTATATCAGTGGGTCCATGCTCATCAACATTGGGATGCTTATCAGGCAGGGGTCCCAGGTGACCCTCCACCCGGCACTCACCATGACTCTAGACATCCAAGATCTGGATGCGTCGCAGGAGCTCCCGATGCCCCCGAAGTTCGAGCAGCAGCAGCAGCAGTACGAGGATGATTTTCCGGCGTCCACAATCACATGGATGACATTCGCTAGCAGTTAGACCAGATGTCCCTAAGGCAGGATGTCTTCGAGATGCGGCTAGAGACAATCAGCCAGAGGCAGGAGGGAGTGATTCAGAATATGGATACGATCAGCCAGCATGTGCTTGGCATGATCCGAAGCTAGGAAGAGTTTCAGAGACACATGTTCTGGTAATTTCCTCCTCCTGAGCCATCTTCAGCCTCGCAGTCGAGCCCGCCGCTGCCTTAGGAACATCATTGTATATATATAATCATTGTACAAATTTCATGATATATATAAATAAAATCTTTTGGTAAAGTTGTTTGCCTTTATTATCTTCCGAAAAAGAAAAAGCCAGCGTAATAAAAAGAGACTAAAAAGTAAAAAGGCTTACGCGCTATCCTGAAAAAGCCAAAATCCAAAATCGCGAGGAAAAAGAATAAACCGCGGAAAAAGGCGAGATTAATCCCAAGACATTAGCCACTATTCTCCCAACAAAGAGAAAAAGGCAAACAAGCAAAACGCTCGCCTACTCAGAGGCGTTACCAAAAATCAACAAAATCCCCAGCAGATTCTTGCCTATGTAAAAGGCGCTCACCAAAAATCCCTGACAACCAACAAAGTCAGATGACCACTACAAAAACTCAAAAAGCAAAGAATCCCCAGCAATCAACAAGCTGGATGGCTATCAAGAAAAGCCAAAAATCAAAGAATCCCCAGCACACCGAAAGACTTTACCAGAAAAGTAAAAAAAAAAGACTATCAAACAAAATCACTCCCCATGGAGTCGGCGCATGAGCTAGAGCAGTAAGCCGCCACCACCACCAGTCCTACAAAGTGGACGGCAACAACCGGATGGGGGTTCATACTCATCAACCGAGGGATCAACTACCGCAAAAAGGAGCATCCTGAGGTTCTACCACTTGTCAGCCAAGGGATCGGCTACCGTAAGAAGGAGCATCCCAAAGCTACAAGCAACCGGATGGGGGTTCATACTCATCAACTGAGGGATCAACTACTGCAAGAAGGAGCATCTTGAGGTTCTACCACTTATCAGTCGAGGGGTCGGCTACTGCAAGAAGGAGCATCCTAGAGGCACACACATATTTTTCGTCTAGAGGGTCGGTTACTGCAAGAAGGAGCATCTGAAGGACGACCAGGAAAGAGGGTTAACTCCTTCACCCTCTAGCCGATATTTTTGGCACATTGAGCCAACAGTCGGTTAGTCAGGTGAAGGGGGGGGGCAGCTTAGACCCCAAATCTTACCTGACCTCAAAATAAAGAGCAGAAGATTTTTGTTTGAAGATAAGCAAGGCCTAAAAGGTCCCTAAGGGCGAGACCGTCGTCTCACCACTTGCCAATGGCGAGACGGCCGTCTTGCCACTTGCCGAAGGCGAGACAGCCGTCTCATTTGGCGAAACGGCGGTCCCGACCTGACAGGTGCGAATCCTTATAAAAGTGGGGACTTTCCTACTATTTTCACAACATTCTACCACTTTCCCTTCTGAACTTCTTACGAATTACTGTCCTAGGACCCCTTTGAAGCATTTCCAGAGTTTCTTAGTGTTCTTAGAAAGCATTTTGTAGTATTGCGAGGAAGAGTGATCAACATTGTAAAGCGTGGGGATTGCCAAAAAGCACCATCTTTGAAAGAATTTACTATAAAAGATTGCTTCGAAGGTTCCTATACACTCCTTTCTCTACTTTATTGCTTTTTTAGATAATATTATTATGCATTAATCATTTAGGGCCATGTAGTCAATATTTTAATTTCTGCAATGAATAAATAAGGGTAAAAGCGCATATTAGAGTTATTATTTCTTTATAAAAACAATTCATCATAGGGAACCCGAAAGGGGTGTCGTAGGGAAGCTAATACCTTTCCTACACGTAACTAACTCCCTTACCCGACTCTGGTTGTAATGGCCAAAGTTGGTTTTTCTAAACCAATGCCTTCTTTTTTTCTTCATTTTCCAATGTTTCTGCTAAAAATATTGGTGGCAACTCCTCAAACCTTTCGAAAACCTCGCCTTTAGGTCCAGCCTGGTTATCGGACAACCTAAAGGCGTTGAACCATTTCTTTAAAAAATGCGAGCCGAACGAAACCAATGCATCGCTCCAATCGCCTCTTTCGATGGCGACGACAATCATCACTTGAAAAACAGACATAATCACTTACCTTACAGTCAGAAGAAATGTTGTCATTTGCCATCAAGCAAAGATTGACTTCAACATCGGATTCACTTGACTCTAAACTAGAGTCACTTTCTTCCCACGCTATATAGGCTTTCTTTTTGAATGACTTTCTTCCTTTTGAGTCATCGCTCTTTTTGTTATAGTTGGGACAATTGGATTTCAAATGACCTGTTTCACCACAACCATAACATTTGAATCTTAAGGAAGAATTTTCTTTTACCTTTCCCTTACCTTTGAAAGGTTGCTTGCCTTTTGCTTTCATGAATTTTGTAAACTTCTTAATCATAAGACTCAAGTTTTCATCTTCCTCATTTTCTGAGTCTTCTTCCTCCTTCTTATTTTTGTTTTTGGAAACCTCAGTTTTGAAGACTAGGTTTCTCTTTTGATGTTGGTCTTCTTCATCATTTAACCTACCTAGTTCAAGTTCATGCTCTCTCAACTTTCCAAAGAGAGTCGCCATGGTCATAGATGCAAGATTTTGTGACTCCATGATAGTAGTCACCTTAGGTTGTCATTTCCTGTCCAAAGATTTCAAAATTTTTACATTTAACTCATCAATATCAAAACTCTTACCAAGTCCAGTGAGATGATTCACAATATGAGTGAAACGTTTTTGGACATCAAAGATTGTTTCTCCTTGTTGCATTCGGAACATCTCATATTCTTGAATCAATGAGTTTTTTCGTGCTCTTTTAACATTATTGGTTCCTTCGTGTGTCACTCTTAGTATCTCCCACATTTCCTAAGCACTTTTACACACATAAATTATATAAAACTCATCAAGGGTTAAAGCAGACAATAATATTTACCCTAACATCATATTGAGCTTTTCTATTTTCTTTTGTAGTCCATCTAGAAAATGGTTTTGGTTCCTCTACATCATTTACAGTCATTTTGGAATAAATGGACCATTTACAACAACATACCAAACACCCATGTCAACAGACTCCAAAAATATTTACATTCTTACTTTCTAAAACGAATAATTTTGTCCAGCAAAAAGTGGGGGTCTATTAATATAAGAACCTTCAGAAAATGTTTGGTTTTGTCCGGCCATTTTCAAAAATTTGAAAAACTATCAAAGCAAGCTCTGATACCACTTGATGGTATCGCGCAGCAGAATGTTTGCGTGTAGGGACAAAAACCAAGAGGGGGTGAATTGGTTTCTTATAAAAATTAGGGTTTTAAAATTTTTTCCCAAATTTCACCGATTAAAATGCTTGTAAAGTAAAGAGATAAGCGAAAGAAGATTACACAAGTAATTTATACTAGTTCGGATCAAAAGATCCTACGTCCAGTTGTTAATCACTCTAAAAGAGGATTAACGATGTCACTATAATCACAGTTTAAAACAGATTACAAATTACAAAAGATAAGGATTAGAAAACACCTCTCTTTAGTCACATAAGAGATGAACACCTCCTTTGAATCCACAAAGGATGACGACAACTTTAACTAGAGACGACACAACACACAATCCACCAAGAAATCCACTCAGTGATTCTTATCGTTTCTAGCTCAAACTAGGTTTTCAAAAGCCCCTTTTTCTTCCCTACACAAAGTTCGCTAGAAATCACAACTCTTAACTTTTGTATGAAAAAGGTTGTATGTTTTAGAGAGCCTGAGAGAACTGTAAATAGAGAGATTTCGGGTATGGGAATTAGGATTTTCGAAATAGGGAATAAATGCATCAAAAATAGGTCTAAATTCAAATTTCAAAATCATAACAGATGCAAATAATCGATTATCATAGGTGATAATAGATTATCACAAAACAATTTTCGCAGAGAATGAATTTGGACCAGGATAATCGATTATCACAAAACTTTCAAAAATAAAAAATAAGTGGGATAAATGATTATCAACCCAGATAATCGATTATTCCAGTGATGTTTTCCAAAAACAAGTTTCAAGTAGGATAATCGATTATCCTAGGTGATAATCGATTATCACTTAGTGGTTTTGATAAAAAATAAACTTTGAGAGGATGAACTATATGTTGACTATCTTGGACTCTATTTTAACAGACTCAATAATGATAAAACACGGTTATTACAAGTAGATACAACAATATATGAGTCTTTTAATCTTGAAGTCCTTTGACACTAAAGCATCATCAAAATCTTCAGGCATCATATCCTTGTATGTTCAACACATCTTTCTTGCACCAACCTCTCAACCCCACCAAATTCCTTTGTTTCAATCTCCCAAGGCTTGAAACTTCAGCTAGAAATTCTAGCACACAATCATTTTCATGAGAAATGTGCTTCATAGCAATCGCCACCCCTCCTCTTAAAACACCCATGTAGATTTTCCCATTCCCACCAACCCCAATCATATTATCCTCATAAAACCCCTTTATTGTTTCCTCAATTTCTTCATACACCATTCTATGTGGCCAATACTCCAACTCCCAATCTTTGATTTCCTGCCTCTTCCTTTCTCTCCTACGCCTCCTTTGAATCTAAATTAGTGCCAACAAAACTAAGACACAAATAACTAAGAAAACTCCAACATTAAACCCTGCAACATTTTGGGAATCTCTCAATATCTTTAGTGTGTACTCCTTCATCAGGATTTTTTACAACAGAACAAAATTATACATAATGTAATGTGGTTCAAAAATTTATACTAACAACTTCAGCAGAGCATGCCATTTTACAATAGTATAAAGAATAGTAACATTCAAAATGAAGAAGATATTATCGTGAGAAAGCGTGAACGGCAATGGCGTGATAGTGGTAGTAGCACGATAGCAGCAGCGACGTGGTAAGGCGATCGTAGCGTTGCGACAGTGGCGGCGCTAGCGTGGCGACGGTAGGAGTGTGACCAAATGTAGATCTAGGTTTTAATTGGAAGTGAGAAGGGGATTTAGTCAGAAGTGAGATGGGGGAAAAGGGGAAAAGGTTAATTTAGTATTTTTATTAAAAATTATAAAATTTCTATAAATAAAAAAAATATCTTTATTATATTAAAGATGTTTATATTTAAAATAATATTTAATTAAATAAATATTTGAATATAATATATTTTTTTCTTATAAAGATTAATTTCTAAAAAAATTATAAAAAAATATTTTTTATAAAATTTTCTACTAATTTAAATATTATTAAATATTTCCTACAAACTTAAATTTATAAAAAATTTATAGAAAATAATTTTAAATATTTACCAATTTTTTTAGATATTTTTTCAAAAAAGTTATAATTATTTCCAAATAATTTATTTCAGATACAAAAAATAATTTATATATATAATGAATATATTTACAGTAAATTTGGTAAAAATAATTTTTTTAAGAAAAAAATACAATTAATTTTTGTTGATATTTTTTTAAAAAGATCAAAATTATTTTTTATAATTATATATTTTTAGAGAAATTTAAAAGTATTTTTTGTAAATAATTTTTAGAAAAAAAAATACAAAAAATAAATAATCTTTAGTAGAAAGCTTATTTGTATTTGTAAGATATATGTAAAGAAATCTCTAGCAAATTTGTATTGAAACTGTGAGAGAATGGCTTTCGACAACTTAATACTCTTTTCAATTTGATATTTGCTATAAATTTACTACAATTTAGCTATGATTGTATGTTACAAAATTTATCTAGGAAATAGTTTCAAAAAGTAACATTGCTAATATTTATAGCGAGGGATTAATGACAAAAATTTTCCTAACTAAATTATTTTTCTGCTAAGTAAGGGAGTAGCTACAAAAATATTAGTTTTTAGCTATTTTACTACATATTAGCTACAACCTTATTTTTTTACTATTCCATCGCTAATTAGCTACAAATTAGTGAAAAATAAATTTTGTAGCAAATTTTTCTAGCTAATATATAAACTTATTTTTCATCATTCTCTCTTTCAAATTTTTTTTAAATATGTTGAACCATATTTGTTTGGAGTTAGTGGTGATTGTATCTATATTGCAATATTGCTCCTTAAAAAGTATGTAGATTTAAAATTAGGAAATAAACCTCAAGATACTTTGATAAACAACACATCGTTTCCTATAATATCAGTGACGAACATAAGGCATCTTGGTATGTTGGATTTAATGAAGTTAAGACAAGAAGATTCTTGCTTCTACTTTACTACTATGTTTTGGAGTCTTTTATGTGTGTCCCTAGTGTGTAGTATATAAGCCTTGGCTTAAATCTCAAATTAATCATCTACTAAGTTAGAATAAATGCTTCATTATCTTTGTGTTTAGTAAGAACTATTTTAATAAGTTCAAATATGTTTTTATCAACTAAAATATTCTACGTTTGTTTTTTTAATCGATAAAAAATTGAATTAATCTATTAAAACCACTTAAACTCAAAATCCCTACATTATTTGAAGTTTTAATCGATTAAACCATGTTTTTCATCAATTAAAATATTCTTGATGAAGTTTAGTGAAATAGGTATTGAAAAATTAATCGATTAAATCTCCATGTTATCCATTGAAATGTTCTTGAATAACTTAGTAATTTTTTTCCTAAGTTGTTTTAATTGATTAATATAATATTTTATCAGTTAAAATGAACCCTAGACTTAGAAATATTTTTTGTCTCATTGTTTTAATCAATTACAACATATTTATATCATTTAAAATACCTTACTACACTTAAAAAGCTTTTTGCTCTTTTTGTTTTAATTGATTAAACATATTTTCATCATTTAAAATATATCACTAGATTTATTGTTAAGTGGTAAAAAGTTGATATAATTATGCTTTGAATTGTTATGAAACTACTTAACTTATGTTAATTCTAATCTATTTTTCTCCTAATGTAGGATGAATTCGAGAATACCTTGATACAAGAGTAAGGAGCATAATTGTCAGCATAATTGGAGTAAAACTGGAAGAAGGAAGAAGATTTTCAGCATGGAAGTCGCTCAAGCGAGATGGACTCTCGCTTGAGCGAATATCAGTTATTCTTCTCTGGATGTTCAGTCGCTCAAGCCAAGTAAAATTGCTTGAGTGAATACTAGTTATTCTTCTCTGGAGTTCACTCGCTCAAGCGAGCAAAGTGTCGCTTGAGCAAAAATAGGGAACTTTTGCTTGAGCGAATGTTGTCGCTTGAGCGAAAGACGCAAGGCCCAATTTTTCCTATAAAAAAGACAAGATGTGTTTTGAGAAAAGTAAGCAGTTTTGGGGAGAAGAGGCACGACTACTGCTAGGGTTTCATCTAATCTTCATCAATTCTTCACTTCTTCCACATTTGGAGCATTGTAATGGCCAACATGAGTGACTAACTTCATTCTCTTGGGATTTGGTGCACTTCCTTTGAACTCTTTTGTATCATGGTGATATTTTGAGATATTAATCTATGTTTTGATGTTGTTTATTCTTATCTTTTGTGCTTTGGAATGATTTATTCTTGATGTTTGGGATATGATGGGAAAATATATCTTGAACCCTAGATCACGGTAAGAATATTTGTTACGTTAATTTCCAGGAATGGAATGAATGTATCAATTGCTTAACACCCTAAACCTAATATGGAAAATCTCTTAATTGTGTGAGGAATCAACATTTATTAGGTTTTCTTATGAATTTCATGTGTGAGGAATCAACATGGATGATTTGAGTAGGTGGCATTGTAAACCCCTAATTTTGCCCGGCCTCTCAATAAAAGACCAGAAGACTTTCTATCTGAAGATCAAGCTTCGATGGACGTCTCTCGGCATCAATCGGCTTCCGACTGAAGAAATGAAAGCTTCCCGGGAGTCCCAGAACACAAAATTTGGCCAAAACACTCGAGACAACCATCCCAGAAGCCAAGACAACCATCCCAGTCAGGCCTGACGGTCGTCCCACATGCCAGACGGCCGTCTCACTCAATTTTGACACTTGGGACGACCGTCCCAGATCCCAGACAGCCGTCCCAACATCTGCAGATGGCGGTCCCTATTTTCTGCACCCTAGACGGCCGTCCCGAGCTGCCAGGCTGAAAAAACTATAAATAGGAGCTCATTTGAGCGTTTTTAGACACACCTCACTCTTCTCTTCTCTCTCCCTTTCGAATGAACTTTCCGATTGCCTATAAGGTAACAGTCGGTTAAGGAAGTTTCTTCCGACATTCGATTCTTCTTAGAATTTTAGTAGAGTCGGTCTTGTATTCGGGGAGGAGAGTCCTTGTAGTGCGGGGGATTGCCAAAATGCATCCTCACAATTGAAGAGTTATAATAAAAAGCTTGCTACGGAGGTTCTTTTCACTTCTCTTCTCTTTTATTGCTTTATTTAATGCTTTATGTATGCGATAGAAAATAGAATCATGTAGATAGCCATTTTTTAATATTGTATAATAAAATAGGGTAATAGCGTAATTTCTCTTAATCTTTACTTTATGAATCAATCCGTCATAGGGAACTCGAAAGGGGCGTCGTGGGGGTGCTAACACCTTCCCACGCGTAACTAACTCCCTTACCTAACTCTGGTTATAATGGCCAAGTTTGGTTTTTCTTAAAATCAACGCATTTTTATCCTTTTCCAATGTTTATGGTCAAAACATTGGTGGCGACTCCATAAGAACCCTTTTGCGAAAACCTTGCTTTTATTAGATGATAGTTCAGTTGTTGAGCACCTCGGAAGTAATGAACACATTTTAAAATAAAATGCGAGTCTAAACCATCTTTTCACGACCGCTCGCATAAACGTTCGAGATGTCCCTAGACGTCGGAACGGACGACAGCGACAGATGACGACTCCACTGGGGAAGCTAGAGAGTTGATCCCATTTAGTGACGGATAAATTCAAACTACGTAAAGATTTGAAATTACGCCTTTACCCTCCATTGTATGTTTCATTATATGGCTTTAATAACTGTTGTATGATTATTTTCTACAAAATTGTCTGAAATATAAATTGTACACAAAAACCCTTACACACTACAGTCCCTCTATACCCAGGGGCAAGAGTGAATACCTATAGGGAGTGGGTGACAGATACGACCAGCTTGTTAGCACACAGGGCTACAACCGTTGTCGGAAAACCACCAACTCAAGGTGATAACTCTCTTCTTTTGGTCCAAGGATGTTGACACGGAGTTCCGTGCATGATCCGAAGACTGAGAAATTGAGAGGTCCCTATAATGGGGGAACCTTGGGGACCTTTGGCCTTGGTGAGAACAGTTTAGAACCGCCTTAACCAAGCACGTTTCTGCAGGAAAACCCTACCTCGAAATTAGCATGGCTCTGCTCGTGGATGGTTGAATTGTGTGTGCATTCGTTTGCTGCATTTGTATTGATGCATTGGCATAGGGTAATCATACAACAAACAATAATAGTAAAAAATCCTAAAAAAACCATAAAAGTGATAAGAATAAACCAACTTTATCTCGGACAGTCTTCATTTAAGCTAGCCTGATTTCAGGTTCTTTGTAAGCTAAGTAGCCACGTTGACCAACAAAAGAGATAAAGGGCTATAAAAAATAAAAAAACAATTTAAAGCAATAAAAAAACACCTATTACAATAAAAAGATTTTTGACAAAGTATTATTATTCATACAATATCTGTTCATAAAAATAATAAGAGGAGAAAATAGGACTCTCTTCATCAAAATCCATAAACATTCATATAGATAGTTTCCTTTTCAAGAGAAAACCAAGCACTATCATGTATCATACTTAGAATAAAACATGATAATACTTAGAAAAAACAAACACCTGCATGCATGCATTTACAAAGACTCATCCTCATATCATGCATTTTTCATTTCTTTTAGATAATGGAGGGATCCAGTAATAGACAGTTAAAGAAAGTGGAAATCCTTCTATGCCGTGTAGAGAAGCTAAGACAGTTGTGCTCATATATGCCGCCAGAGGTCAGTGCTAATTTTGGAAATCTTAT